AATTAAGCAATGGTTTGACCGAAATAAACTATCTTTTAATTTAAGTAAAACCAAATATATTATATTTAGTAATCGACAAATTAAAACCAGCATGAGCTTAAAGATTGATGATGTGGAACTAGAAAGGGTAAATGAAAACAAATTTCTTGGAATAATATTAGACCATAAACTATCCTGGAAACCTCACATCGCTCATGTTCAATCAAAACTGTCTAAAACAATAGCTATATTACATAAAACCAAGTATTTTTTAAATACGCCGTCTTTGTATATTCTGTATTGTTCTCTTATTGTTCCATATTTTTCTTACTGTGTTGAAATATGGGGGCATGCCTACACCACAAACACAAAACCCATTTTTATTTTACAAAAAAAAGCTATAAGGATAGTCAATCATTCACCGTATAATGAACCGACAAATTCTATATTCTGTAAATTTAAAGCAATAAAATTTTCTGATTTAGTCAGTCTGAATACTGCCGTTTTTATGTTCAAAGTTAATAGGAAAATAGTGCCTGAAAATATTCTATGTTTGTTTGAAAACAGGGAACAGAAATATAACTTAAGAGGAGAGAACATGTTTAAAAAACAGATGGTCAGAACAAACTTTAAAATGAACACCATCTCGGTAAAAGGGGTCGACTTGTGGAATGGTCTCACTGATGATATTAAGAGGAGTAATTCCATTCATTACTTTAAAAAACAGTTTAAAATCTTAATTTTTGACAAATATTCGGATGCTTAAGAAAAATTGCCCAAGATAAGTTTATGTATAATTGTTGTGTTTAGATTTCAATAATATAAGTAATAAATAAATATTTGTAATCAAGTGCAGAGGTTTGTATGTATGTATATATGCATGTATATGAGTATGCAGTATGTGTATAGGAATGAGTGTATGTTTGCATATGTTTATACATGTATATTGTTTATGTTCAAATTTTGATGGGTAGATGTTGATGTATATGATGTAAATAGGGTAGGCGTAATAAGCCATGGCTTCAGCCTACACCTGTTCGGTTACCTTCTTTGTTTGTAATGAATTTGTTGTATATATTCTGTTTTATGTTTAGTAACCGAATAAACCTTTATTATTATTAGAAAACAGCTGATTTACATTAGAATAATATTTCACTGTTTTACTGTATTTTTAATCAAATAAATGCAGCCTTGGTGAGCAGAAGAGACTTCTTTTAAAAACATTAAAACGGCAAGGACAAATGTGGGCGGGGCTTGATTGTGTCTGTGGGGAGTTGATTGGATGGTTGTGGTTTGCTATTGGCTGATCTCATGTGAGTGACAGGTTATAGCCCCGCCCTCGTCATCAGAAAAGAGATGTCGTAATCATCAGTAACTTTGTAGTCAGGTCTGACAGCATTAGGAGTAATGCTCGTTCACCAGCTTGCATGTGTAATAATACATAAACGTCCGTTCTGCTTGAGTTAGTGTGATATGCGACTCAACTTACCCTCTGCTTTTCGAGACGTAGCCTAGCGACTGAGCAAGCCGATGAACGAACGCTCTCTCAGAATTTGTCAATGAAGAAGGGAAATCCAGCTCTATAAGACAAAACAACCGTTAAAGTCCCCCTGTGATGAGAATCCAGTTTTTAATGTTGTTTTTGTGTCTATGTGGTGTTTTTAATACGCTTTAAGACACACATGTGTAAGTTCATAAGTCGACAGCATTGCTGAGTATTTTCTGCTTAAAACTGCAGTGAACCAAAGACAGTCTCAAAAACACGGTTTGAAATCGCTGGTGTTTCTGACGTCACAAACAACCTTGTAACCAATCAGATCAACGTGTGATCGTCAACCAGTGGATCTCTGAGCTGAGTGAGTGAGTGGAGGCGGGGCTCATTTGCATATTCATAGAACCGCGCATACTAAATGAGGCGAGGGTGTCGAGTTACATTCAAGCTACATCAAGAAATTTATTTGAAAGGAAAAAACGTTGAAATATGTCATTTTGGTGAGTTTTAAGGGATGAAATTATTGACTATGTGGTAAAAAAAATAATCTTGTTTCTCTATGATTTAACTGTTTTTTTCTGACCCCATTGGCAGATAATTTAGCTTTTTTAATCATTTTAATTAATTCCTCAGAAAACAAGACATAATATCTTATGGCATTTTACTCCTCTAGTAAATGCATCTTGATTTAAGAGCTTTTTAATATTTGGACTGGAAACAAGACATAAATACTAAGTAAGAAAAGCATTTTTTGCAGAGGTTAGCTTCCGTTGGGTTGTTCAACGTAAACGTTTCCGATCGAAATCATCTAGAGTCCCCATCGGCGTTCCCCAGGGCTCCGTCCTGGGCCATCTTCTGTTCATTATTTACTTGCTTCCACTTGGTTATATTTTTAGGAAATATGGTGTCCTCACTTGTCCAAACTTCAGTTGATGTTTTTTTGCACTTTTTGAGTAAAAAAAAAAAGTTCCCTCAAGCTTAATCGCTTCAAAAAATGTAAACACGAAACCCGTGCTAATCGAAAGCAAACAAGTTGACAAAAGGATTGAATCTGAATAACAGTATCAGCAGAGATTTACTAGCGATTTCTAATGAAACCAGCGAATCATGAGATGATGACAGAAGAGCCACAGAACTCGAACCTTTGTCGTCGCTGTACTGGAACCTCTCCAGCGCGATGTTCACGGAGATCTTGACCTCTTCATCGATCCTGATGTCTTTGAGTCCTTTAGCTTTCAGAGATGTCGTCTGCTTAGACGCGCTCATGCTCGATTTACGGGACATTTCTTCTCCCTGCATGCAAGAACAGAACGCCAAAGTAATGGATTATTCTCTCAGTGACTGTACGCCAGTAAATATCACATATTCTCCTTTTATTACTAAGATTACATAATCTCGTGTTTAATGCCCCTTTAAGGGGAATCTCTTGTTGTATTCCTCGTCTTTGGATAAAAGCATCTGCTAAATCAGGGGTTTTTAATCGTTTATATTCTTGTTAAAGACCCAATACTAAGAAATTAATATTGTAAATATTCAGTTTCTGTTAAGTTTTATTATTACAAGTCATTTGTTTAATTACTCATTTATTTATTTTAATCTTATTTTTGTTAGTTATTACATTTATTTTAATCTAATTGCGTTATTTATTTATTTTATATTTATAATATTCATTTTATATGTATTTATATGTTATTTATATATACATACATATACACGTTTATTTGTTTAATTACTCATTTATTTATTGAAATCTTTTCTTTTTTTTTACACACTTTTTCCTCTAAACTTTTCCACAGTTTGAAAATTATGCTGGATGTATATTAAATGTATCTCTGCAATAATTTATTATAACATAATAATATAAAAGTACTGTATTTCGTTTAGTTAGTTTTCTTGTGTATTATTATTTATTTCATTCTTCGTCCCAGTAAAAACAGTTTGTACAAGCAAACAGAAGATATAAATATAATACCATACAAATTGTAAAGATGTTTTAAAGAAAACTCCATGTAAACTCGGTGTGCGTTAGCAGCTACTGCTAAACTGACTTATTTAACACTGAAACACTATCATCAACACACTGACACCTGCTCAAATACCACAAAAAAGCAAGAAAATACAGTGTTTCAACTCAAATGCTGGTTAATATTGTGTTTATAGGAATGCTGTCCATTCATTGAGCTTCACGAGCGTCGCTAGCATCACTTCACTGTTTATTTACCGCACAATAATAATAAAACCAGCAATATCTTACGTGTTTTGAGCATCTGAGGAGAACACAGTGTGAAAGCAGAAAGCTTTAAGAGTCCAGAAGGTTTAATTCGGCTGTCAGTCACTGGTGTGTTTGGATTAGTTGTTTCTGCCTGTAAAGAATCGAAAGTGGGGCTGTGCTCCGTCTGCGCATGCGCAACAGATCTACAGCTCATTCCTCTGACGTCACTACAGCTACATGTTGTGCGGAGATCAGCGGAGTTTAATAACAATATATTATTGGCATAAATGTAGATTTTTTTAAAGCGCCTCCTTTGTTTAATATATTCAGAAATGTTTCTTTTTTTTCTCTTTCTTTCCCTTCTTTCTTATTTACTTTTTTAGTATTTTTATTTCTTTATTTGTGTTGAGCCTTCCACGATTGTGTTTTCTTTGTATAATAACTGTTTTGTGCCATTTTGTTGTATGAATTAAAATAAAATAAAATAAAAAGATCAGCGGAGTTTATTTAATAATTTTTTTATTAACTTTCAAAGAAAAAAACAGTGTCAAGACTCTTTTGATCAATGTACATATTTTCTAAACTATTAAGTTCTCCAGAATAAGAGATGTTTTTACATTAAAAGTGTCATGATATCCCTCATGCGGTCTCCACTCATACATGATTGTTATTAATGATAAAACCTTGTGTTGCCCTATGCTGTATGATATAATAACGTTTTCTATGTTGATTATTTAATTGATTCTGTGACAAGGATACATTAGGTTTTATTTTTAGAATAACTGTACATTTATAATGCATTGGCAAGATCATTTGTATGAAAATTAATATAAAACATGATAAAAAAAAGAACATAAAAAATAGAATGTTTAATTGTTATAAGTCCCCCTGTACTCAATAATTGTATCCCTTAACTCATCTTTGATCACAAAATTACATATTTAAACGTTTTTTTCCTTTATTATAAATTTTTTAAAGTATCTTGAATGTAAGTCGACACCCTTGCCTCATTTAGTATGCGCGGTTCTATGAATATGCAAATGAGCCCCGCCTCCACTCACTCACTCAGCTCAGAGATCCACTGGTTGACGATCACACCTTGATCTGATTGGTTACAAGGTCGTTTGTGACGTCAGAAACACCAGCGATTTCAAACCGTGTGTTTGAGGCTGTCTTTGGTTCACTGCAGTTTTAAGCAGGAAATACTCAGCAATGCTGTCGACTTATGAACTTACACATGGTGTGTCTTAAAGCGTATTAAAAACACCACATACACACATAAACAACATTAAACGCTGGATTTACACCACAGGGGGACTTTATGAATGGGAAACACCCTATGTTTTTGTTATGTCTGTCAACAAATGATTGCAACTGATAAATGAAGGGTTTCAGCTCTTATGGTCTTTAGGAGACTGAAGTCATCATAATCATAATCATAATGTTGGCGTCAGTCGCTGTGAAGGACAGTTTTCCAGTCGTCTGGAAGGCTGAAGGGAAGCCGCTTCTGTCGTCTCCATTTCGCCCTTCGGTTCTTAAACCACACCTACAACATCACACAGTTATTATAGAGACTTCCACACTGTAAAACAAAATCTGTTCAATTTACGGTAAAAAACGGCAGCTGTGGTTACCAGAAATTTACCAGTAAAAAATTTACCAGTAAAAAATGTATTTCATTATCTGATATAAGGTTAATTTACCCACCTATTGAAGTATATATATTGTACCATTGTAATACACTGATATCCACCAATCACAGCGGAGATGAGAGTCACATGATCAATCACAGCTCATCACTCGCAGCTTTTCCACATTAAAGTTAATACTAATATACAGAAGCTGCACAGTGTCATTCACACACACACTAAACACACATGGCATTGTAAGAATGCAATAAACATTCATTTAACAACATTAAATGTAACATAAAACCCTAATGTACATAACTGATTAGAAAAAAGGAAGAAAAACTATGAAGAAACAGTTTTTTTCAACAAAAATACATCAAATGTGAAGTGTCAAGCAGGGAATTGTGGGAATAAACATTTACGGTTTTTCACTGTAAATTATACAATGTTCTTTTTCACTTCCAAAAAACTGTCAATGTAACGGTGTTTTACTGTAAAATTACATTAAATGTACGGTTAGACCTATCACAGTATATCACAGAAACTTACTGTCAACCAATTAACAGTTTTTCACTGTATAGCATTTTTACGGTCTTATACCGTTAAAATCACAATGATTTTTTACAGTGCAGCATTAATCAGGTTTGCACAAGTCAGATCCCAGCACTAAAAATATGTTCTAAGAATGTTTTGCTAACGTTCCCAGACAGCAACACTGTGTCAGCCCAGATCCGGCCCACATACGTGTGGATTCCACGAGTGCCAGATGTGGGCCGGATCTGGGCCGACACAGTGTTGCTGTCTAGATGCACTTTTATGATGGATAGATGCACTTTTATGATGGATAGATGCACTTTTATGATGGATAGATGCACTTTTATGATGGATAAATGCACTTTTATGATGGACAGATGCACTTTTATGATGGACAGATGCACTTTTATGATGGATAGATGCACTTTTATGATGGATAGATGCACTTTTATGATGGACAGATGCACTTTTATGATGGACGGATGCACTTTTATGATGGATGGATGCACTTTTATGATGGATGGATGCACTTTTATGATGGATAGATGCACTTTTATGATGGATAAATGCACTTTTATGATGGACAGATGCACTTTTATGATGGACAGATGCACTTTTATGATGGACGGATGCACTTTTATGATGGATGGATGCACTTTTATGATGGATAGATGCACTTTTATGATGGAGAGATGCACTTTTATGATGGATAAATGCACTTTTATGATGGACAGATGCACTTTTATGATGGACAGATGCACTTTTATGATGGATAGATGCACTTTTATGATGGATAAATGCACTTTTATGATGGACAGATGCACTTTTATGATGGACAGATGCACTTTTATGATGGACGGATGCACTTTTATGATGGATGGATGCACTTTTATGATGGAGAGATGCACTTTTATGATGGATAGATGCACTTTTATGATGGACATATGCACTTTTATGATGGACAGATGCACTTTTATGATGGACAGATGCACTTTTATGATGGACAGATGCACTTTTATGATGGACAGATGCACTTTTATGATGGACAGATGCACTTTTATGATGGACATATGCACTTTTATGATGGACAGATGCACTTTTATGATGGACAGATGCACTTTTATGATGGATAGATGCACTTTTATGATGGACAGATGCACTTTTATGATGGACAGATGCACTTTTATGATGGACAGATGCACTTTTATGATGGACAGATGCACTTTTATGATGGACAGATGCACTTTTATGATGGATAGATGCACTTTTATTATGGACAGATGCACTTTTATGATGGACAGATGCACTTTTATGATGGACAGATGCACTTTTATGATGGACAGATGCACTTTTATGATGGATGGATGCACTTTTATGATGGACAGATGCACTTTTATGATGGACAGATACACTTTTATGATGGATATATGCACTTTTATGATGGACAGATGCACTTTTATGATGGACAGATACACTTTTATGATGGATAGATGCACTTTTATGATGGACAGATGCACTTTTATGATGGACAGATGCACTTTTATGATGGATAGATGCACTTTTATGATGGACAGATGCACTTTTATGATGGATAGATGCACTTTTATGATGGACAGATGCACTTTTATGATGGATAGATGCACTTTTATGATGGATAGATGCACTTTTATGATGGACAGATGCACTTTTATGATGGACAGATACACTTTTATGATGGATATATGCACTTTTATGATGGACAGATGCACTTTTATGATGGACAGATACACTTTTATGATGGATAGATGCACTTTTATGATGGACAGATGCACTTTTATGATGGATAGATGCACTTTTATGATGGATAGATGCACTTTTATGATGGATATATGCACTTTTATGATGGACAGATGCACTTTTATGATGGACAGATACACTTTTATGATGATAGATGAACTTTTATGATGGATAGATGCACTTTTATGATGGGCAGATGCACTTTTATGATGGACAGATGCACTTTTATGATGGACAGATGCACTTTTATGATGGACAGATGCACTTTTATGATGGATATATGCACTTTTATGATGGACAAATGCACTTTTATGATGGACAGATACACTTTTATGATGGATGGATGCACTTTTATGATGGACAGATGCACTTTTATGATGGACAGATCCCCTTTTATGATGGATAGATGCACTTTTATGATGGATAGATGCACTTTTATGATGGACAGATGCACTTTTATGATGAACAGATGCACTTTTATGATAGACAGATGCACTTTTATGATGGACAGATGCACTTTTATGATGGATAGATGCACTTTTATGATGGACAGATGCACTTTTATGATGGACAGATGCACTTTTATGATGGACAGATGCACTTTTATGATGGATAGATGCACTTTTATGATGGACAGTTGCACTTTTATGGACTTCAAAACAGAAACAGCCTTTCACTGCTATTATAAAGCTTGGAAGAGCCAGGACAGGTTTTAATATAACTCTGATTGTATTCGTCTGAAAGAAGGTCATATACACCTAGGATGACTTGAGGGCGAGTAAATCATGGGCTAATTTTCATTTTCGGGTGAAATATCCCTTTGATAGAAACAAGAACACAGTTCTGTAAGCTGTGAGTTTAAGGGTGAAAGATGACTTATGAAAGGTTCTGGATGACCTCGACTCTCTCCTCGCGCAGGTGTGTGCGCTGGGCCAGGTCCTCTCGGGTGTTGATGTCGGGATACTGGTTCTGCCGGAACAGATCCTCCAGAGCCTCCAGCTGTTCCTCGGTGAAGATCGTGCGGTGCCGCCGGACCCTCCTCTGAACGTGAGCGAAGCTGGATGATTCTGCAGCAGGAGCCGGGTCTGCTAACATCCTCGGACCCCAAACTACAGCACAGAAGACACACTGAGAACATGCTGGAATTCCTACGAATTCTACGAGGTGGCTAAAGCCGGCTTTCAGATCAAATTTCGGATCCGATTTGAGCTTTGGATGCGTTAAAAATCTGAACTTCTGCGGCTGGACCGCATTCAACTGGCCGACCGGAGAATTACCAATATTTTAACACTTTAACAATTCTGTAAACAATATTTCTGTAAAATGGCGGTTATTAATAATTATGGCAGAAATAATTATCTTATATTTATTAAATCAGTATTTATATTGATGTTAGTGTTAGGGCTATGTTTTTATTTTATTTTAGTTGAGGGTCTTTGTTTTTTGTGGATATATTCATGCATACATTACATTCATTAAAATCATTAATTTTACTATGCGAATAAGCCGAGGGTAAAAGTTGCTTCACTACCGATTTTAAAGTTCCGTGCGACTGCCACTAGGGGGCGAAATGTGACAATCGTATGCGAATGTCGTGTGCAGTGGAAAGTCGGCTTAATTCGTACAAATTCATATGAACTCACTCGTACGAATTCGAACGATTTTTGCTAAATCGTACATATTTTGCGACTTGCCCAATTCTTGTGAATTTGTACGAATGAGCTACACCTGACCCCGCCCCTAAACCTGCCCGTCACGTGGGTTAAGACAATTCGTACGAATTGTGAGATAGCGTCGATATGGTGCGTTCAATTCCTCCTGGGAAGTTCGTTCGTACGAGGTGGGAAGTCGTGTTTACGACGGCCAGTGCGTTCAAGTCACTCTCGTCGGAGTAAGATGGCGAACTACTTTCTCTTAATTAATTACACAAAAATACAGCAAGGTTCTTAAACTCTAGTTCTAGAAATATAAGAACAAAGAAATGTGCATCAGTTTTTAATTAATTTATGAAGCCATTACTAACTTTATCCTTAGGCTACATTTTACATTGTTATATTATAATGGCATATTCTGTGCAGGCAGTTAGCTTACTTCGCTGTAATTAGCTTACTCCGCTGTAATTAGCTTACTTCGCTGTAATTAGCTTACTTCGCTGTAATTCGCTTACTTCGCTGTAATTAGCTTACTTCGCTGTAATTAGCTTACTTCGCTGAAATTAGCTTACTCCGCTGTAATTAGCTTACTTCGCTGTAATTAGCTTACTCCGCTGTAATTAGCTTACTTCGCTGTAATTAGCTTACTTCGCTGTAATTAGCTTACTTCGCTGTAATTAGCTTACTTCGCTGTAATTCGCTTCGCTTTAATTCGCTTACTTTGCTGTAATTAGCTTACTTCGCTGTAATTAGCTTACTTCGCTGTAATTCGCTTACTTCGCTGTAATTCGCTTACTTCACTGTAATTAGCTTACTTTGGTGTAATTCGCTGTAATTCGCTTACTTTGCTGTAATTCGCTGTAATTCGCTTACTTTGCTGTAATTCGCTGTAATTAGCTTACTTTGCTGTAATTCGCTGTAATTCGCTTACTTCGCTGTAATTAGCTTACTTCGCTGTAATTCGCTGTAATTCGCTTACTTCGCTGTAATTAGCTTACTTCGCTGTAATTCGCTGTAATTCGCTTACTTCGCTGTAATTAGCTTACTTCGCTGTAATTCGCTTACTTCGCTGTAATTCGCTGTAATTCGCTTACTTCGCTGTAATTCGCTGTAATTCGCTGTAATTCGCTGTAATTCGCTGTAATTCGCTTACTTCGCTGTAATTCGCTTACTTCGCTGTAATTCGCTGTAATTCGCTGTAATTCGCTTACTTCGCTGTAATTCGCTGTAATTCGCTGTAATTCGCTTACTTCGCTTACTTCGCTGTAATTAGCTTACTTCGCTGTAATTCGCTTAGTTCGCTGTAATTCGCTTACTTCGCTGTAATTAGCTTACTTCGCTGTAATTCGCTGTAATTCGCTGTAATTAGCTTACTTCGCTGTAATTCGCTGTAATTCGCTGTAATTCGCTTACTTCGCTGTAATTCGCTGTAATTCGCTTACTTCGCTGTAATTCGCTTACTTCGCTGTAATTCGCTTACTTCGCTGTAATTAGCTTACTTCGCTGTAATTAGCTTACTTCGCTGTAATTAGCTTACTTCACTGTAATTAGCTTACTTCGCTGTAATTCGCTGTAATTCGCTGTAATTCGCTGTAATTCGCTTACTTCGCTGTAATTAGCTTACTTCGGTGTAATTCGCTTACTTCGCTGTAATTCGCTTACTTCGCTGTAATTCGCTTACTTCGCTGTAATTAGCTTACTTCGCTGTAATTCGCTGTAATTCGCTGTAATTAGCTTACTTCGCTGTAATTCGCTGTAATTCGCTGTAATTCGCTTACTTCGCAGTAATTCGCTGTAATTCGCTGTAATTCGCTGTAATTCGCTTACTTCGCTGTAATTCGCTTACTTCGCTGTAATTCGCTGTAATTCGCTTACTTCGCTGTAATTAGCTTACTTCGCTGTAATTAGCTTACTTCGCTGTAATTCGCTGTAATTCGCTGTAATTCGCTGTTATTCGCTTACTTCGCTGTAATTAGCTTACTTCGCTGTAATTCGCTGTAATTCGCTTACTTCGCTGTAATTCGCTGTAATTCGCTTACTTCGCTGTAATTCGCTGTAATTACCTTACTTCGCTGTAATTAGCTTACTTCGCTGTAATTCGCTGTAATTACCTTACTTCGCTGTAATTCGCTTACTTCGCTGTAATTCGCTTACTTCGCTGTAATTCGCTTACTTCGCTGTAATTCGCTGTAATTTGCTGTAATTCGCTTACTTCGCTGTAATTAGCTTACTTCGCTGTAATTCGCTGTAATTCGCTGTAATTCGCTTACTTCGCTGTAATTAGCTTACTTCGCTGTAATTAGCTTACTTCGCTGTAATTAGCTTACTTCGCTGTAATTCGCTGTAATTCGCTGTAATTCGCTGTAATTCGCTTACTTCGCTGTAATTAGCTTACTTCGCTGTAATTCGCTTACTTCGCTGTAATTCGCTGTAATTAGCTTACTTCGCTGTAATTCGCTGTAATTCGCTGTAATTCGCTTACTTCGCTGTAATTAGCTTACTTCGCTGTAATTCGCTTACTCCGCTGTAATTAGCTTACTTCGCTGTAATTCGCTGTAATTAGCTTACTTCGCTGTAATTCGCTGTAATTCGCTGTAATTCGCTTACTTCGCTGTAATTAGCTTACTTCGCTGTAATTCGCTTACTCCGCTGTAATTAGCTTACTTCGCTGTAATTCGCTGTAATTCGCTGTAATTCGCTGTAATTCGCTGTAATTCGCTTACTTCGCTGTAATTCGCTGTAATTCGCTTACTTCGCTGTAATTCGCTGTAATTCGCTGTAATTCGCTTACTTCGCTGTAATTAGCTTACTTCGCTGTAATTCGCTGTAATTAGCTTACTTCGCTGTAATTCGCTGTAATTAGCTTACTTCGCTGTAATTAGCTTACTTCGCTGTAATTCGCTGTAATTCGCTTACTTCGCTGTAATTCGCTTACTTCGCTGTAATTCGCTGTAATTCGCTGTAATTAGCTTACTTCGCTGTAATTAGCTTACTTCGCTGTAATTAGCTTACTTCGCTGTAATTCGCTGTAATTCGCTTACTTCGCTGTAATTAGCTTACTTCGCTGTAATTCGCTTACTTCGCTGTAATTAGCTTACTTCGCTGTAATTCGCTGTAATTAGCTTACTTCGCTGTAATTCGCTGTAATTCGCTGTAATTCGCTTACTTCGCTGTAATTAGCTTACTTCGCTGTAATTCGCTTACTCCGCTGTAATTAGCTTACTTCGCTGTAATTCGCTGTAATTAGCTTACTTCGCTGTAATTCGCTGTAATTCGCTGTAATTCGCTTACTTCGCTGTAATTAGCTTACTTCGCTGTAATTCGCTTACTCCGCTGTAATTAGCTTACTTCGCTGTAATTCGCTGTAATTCGCTGTAATTCGCTTACTTCGCTGTAATTCGCTGTAATTCGCTGTAATTCGCTTACTTCGCTGTAATTCGCTTTCTTCGCTGTAATTCGCTGTAATTCGCTGTAATTCGCTGTAATTCGCTGTAATTCGCTGTAATTCGCTTACTTCGCTGTAATTAGCTTACTTCGCTGTAATTCGCTGTAATTAGCTTACTTCGCTGTAATTAGCTTACTTCGCTGTAATTCGCTGTAATTAGCTTACTTCGCTGTAATTAGCTTACTTCGCTGTAATTCGCTGTAATTCGCTTACTTCGCTGTAATTCGCTTACTTCTTACTTTGCTGTAACTCGCTTACTTCGCTAACTTCGCTGTAATTAGAAAAGCCTGATAATATTCCACCATGTTTCTCGCTTAAAGAAAATCCCGAGCTTCCCACTTGTATTTACAACATTGTGGTGGCGTTCATGTGTGTTCAACTCATAAATATGATCTTTATGACGTGACTTGAACACACCAATAGAATCAAAGCATCAGATCAAGGTTTAATCAACAACAAGCAAATCTACACAGTTTGGTTACACTTTACTTCAGGTTGACGTAGTTACATCAGATAAGTATGAGTAATTTTAATGAATTATAGAGTTATGGTTTGGTTTAGAGTTATTCACTTGTAATAATGCATAATTTACTGTTATTACTATAGTAAGTACATATAGTAGTGTCACCTTAAAATAAAGTGTTACCAAGGGTTATTATAGTTAACTAAAAAATGAAACATAAAAATTGCTTCTTGAAATAAAATAAAGGTTAACTGCAATAAAATACAAAACATATAATATAAATAAATAAAAAACTACACAGATGTGTTTTAAAAAGATACCAAAATAAAAATGACAAAAATACAACAAAGCTATAGGTTACACTTTACTTTAAGGTGAGGTTACAATAAATACTAGTAATATTAATTAATTATGTACTTAGTTTTGTTCAGGGTTATTCACTATGCACAATTTACTATAGTAAGTACATATAGTAACGTGTCACCTTAAAATAAAGTGTTTCCAAGGGTCATTATTGTTAACTAACATTAATATAAAATAAAAATTGCTATTTGAAATAAACGTTAACTAAAATAAAATACAAAAAACTTCAAAAATAAAATACATAAATCAATATAAATTAATAAAAAGCTATACAGATGGGGTTTTTTTTAAATACAAAAATATAAATGTTTAAATGAATAAAAAACTATACAGGTGTGTTTTAAAAAATAAAATAAAATAAAAAATGACAAAAAAAATACTAAAACTTTTACAAAATATAAAATATTTTTAAATATTACACTATAATAATATGTCAATTACACTGATTTAGACCACAAATGCATCACACAAATGAAAAAATATAATACAAAGAAAACAATCTTTCATGTTCATTATCAATCATTTCCTTCATGCGTATTTATAATATATGATTAATATTTTCTTTGCTCTATCACAGTGAAAAGTGGCTGTCATGCAAAACATTACTAATACATTTTCGAGAGATACGCATGATGAGATCCTGTAGTTTTTCCTCGAGGATCGGGAATCTTCAGCGAGAAGTCACCGGAGAAAGCCTTACAAATGTTGAAATTAATATTAACTAAGATTAATAAATGCTGATTTTTAGTTCATGTTAACTAATGAACCTTATTGTGAAGTGTACATGTCATGCAAAACACTTTCACTGAGACATTTATTGCATGAGATCCTGTAGTTTTTCCTCGAGGATCGGGAATCTGGAGATGTTAATGTTGAGATGAAGAAAGTAAAGAAAGCATGTCTTACGGTGTATAATCTCTCCACAGTGAGAACAGAAGCACCCGGGAGTCTCCGGAGACGACAGCTTCTCCTCACAGGATCCCGGAACACGAGGGTTTTCCGAGATCGGCTCCCGGTTCTCCAGAATGCTGTCGATGCTGAACGAGAAGCGCTTCTGGTCCATGAACATGTTCTCCTGCCACTCCTGGACCCACAATGCCATGGGCTTCAGAGGAGAACACACTCATATAAGAGCGGCTCGGTGTCAAACACACATTTACCAAATAGATTAAAAGCAAGGAGACAAAACATAATCCTTCTATACAGCCGAGCCGAGGGGGGAAAGTGGAAAATCCCAGCTAATCTGGGCCGTTTTGTGAAGGTGTTACAGGAGATCCAGGTAATCTGGCTTTAGCTGACGACAAATCTGATTCCACTGTATCAAATGAGACGTTTGAGAGCCGGAAATCCTCATTGTTGTGCCGACAGATAAATGTGCTGTGATTCTCCGAGAGGATCAGCTCCGGGTCCGGCATTTGCATGAGATTTCCAGCGTGTCAAACCCGTTTAACCCCCAGATCCGAGCCTTCGCTGAGCCGGCCTTTATTAGCGCTAGAACTGTGTGGGTCTGTGGGTTTATATGGCGAAACTTGGAGAAACACAAGCATAATGCTTCATAAAAACAATATTAGCTACTGCAAAAAAAATAGTTTTTGTCTCGATTTCCAGCACTAATATCTAAACATTCTTACATCAAGACACATTTACTGGAGGAGAACAATGAAGATATTAAGACTTGATTAATGAGAAATGAAGTGAGTTTGTGCTAATTCTCCAATGTAATGTAATTACGACTGAGCAATCCCTCAGTTTCTGTCTCGTTTTCCAGCACTAATATCTAAACATTGAAAAATGTAGCAAAATTAAGGGAGTCATGTTGCTTCTCCAGTAAATGTATCTTGATTTATGTTTTGATATTTGTACTGGAAAACTGAAAAATATATATTTTTTGGAGTTGGTTTATATTTTCTTGGTCAGTTGCTATGATGCTTATAGGTTTTGCTTTATGGTGAAACCTGGAAAAACACAAGTAATGCTTCATAAAACCAATATTACTGCAAAAAAAATAAAATAAATCAATGTTTTTGCCTCGTTTTCCAGCACTAATATCTAAAACATTCTTACATCAAGGAGAAGAACAATGACTGAAGATATTAAGACTTGATTAATGAAAAATGTGAACAAGAACTTGTTTTAAGCATAAACTCCCTTAATTCTGATGCATTTTTCAGAAATGTAATTAATATTGAGCAACGGGTTTCAAATCCTGCTCTTCCTCAGTGTTTCTCTCTCGTTTTCCAGCACTAATATCTAAACGTTGAAAAATGAAAAAAGTATCAAAATTAAGGGAGTTTGTGAGTTTTCACTTCATAATTTCAACTTTTGATGCATTTTTCAGAAATGTAATATCTTCAGTCATGTCGCTTCTCCAGTAAATGTATCTTGATTTATGTTTTGATATTCATACTGGAAAACTGAAATATATATATATTTTTTTTGGAGTTGGTTTATATTTTCTTGGTCAGTTGCTGTGATGCTTCTAGGTTTTGGTTTATGGTGAAACTTGGAAAAACACAAGTAATGCTTCATAAAACCAATATTACTGCAAAAAAATTAATAAATCAATGTTTTTGTCTCGTTTTCCAGCACTAATATCTAAAACATTCTTAAATCAAGGAGAAGAACAATGACTGAAGATATTAAGACTTGATTAATGAAAAATGTGAACAAGAACTTGTTTTAAGCATAAACTCCCTTATTTTTGATGCATTTTTCAGAAATGAATATCTATCATCTTTAACATTCTCCTGATTACAGTATGTTTTGATATTCCGACCGGAAAACTGAGAAAGAACATTTTTCGCAGTTGTTTTATATTTTCTTTATCCGTGTTGTGATGTGACTTTATCCGGCCAGAACTGTTGCTCTCATCACGGTTTTATTTCATAATTTCTGATGCTAAAAGTGGAGCTGTGTCTTAATTTCCAGCGGCAGAAAGACTTGAGCGACGTCTCGTGTCTTATCACCCAAACACACTCCTTCAGTGTCTCTCCTTTGACAAAAAGCCATATTGTACATGTTCTATTCATTCTCCACAAATCCTTTGTAATCATACAAGTCCAACTCATGCTTTTCATCAGGAATTAATGGATTTTCAGAATCTGTCTTGAGCCGCACCGATAAGGAGGATCACAGATACCGATAAACAGCGTCGGTCCGGCTTACTGATATTAATTTGCTTTATATTGTTGAGATTATGGTTTTTAGTGTCATGTTGATTGGGATTGATATACTTTTGCGTCTCATAGATTAAAAAAATGCATGTAGTTTCATGATGTGTTATTAATTCCAATGCAATGCTTCTATATTTCAGTGTGTGCTTTACAGTTGTGCATGAATATTAATTTGATTAAATGTTTCTCTTTTAACCCCTTGGTGTCTGTTAGTAAACGGTGAAGGACAGAGAAGCTCAGATATATGATGATGATCCATCGGTGTTATTATTTCACATTTATTTTATGAGAGATCTTTAAAAAGCTGATTTTATGCAGGATATATCGGCTGATATCGGTGCATTTTTAATGTTATATATCGGTCTGATAAGAGAATTTGTCCGATATATTAAAGCTGATGAATTATGGATTATTGTTCAGTTCAACATGATGGTTTTGAATATGATTGGAATCGCTTCAAAACAGGAAAATATTGTAAAATGCAGCAGTTAAGCCTGTCATATCGGCTACATAAAATTATAATAAGAACATTATAATTGTGTGTTTGGGACGTGGATTTTAATGCTGAGACTTTTGTTTTTGTAATCAGGCTCTCAAAAATTACATAAAAATGTGGATTTAGATTTATCGGCCGATATATCGGTTATCGGCTTTCAAATATAAAGAATTATCGGTATCAGCCAAAATGTTCATATCGGCTCATCCCTAGATTTAAAAAAATCCTCCAAACATATTTAACATTCATCCGAGACAGTAGCAGTTCAAGATGTTTAATGATGCAAGAACATTTTCTCCAGTGATATTTGACAAAAACAGGGTCTTTTGTGCCACTAAATCTCTAGTCAAACGCTGAGGACTTTATTTCCAGCTTCACACTGAGATTTAGACACAAATAAAGCATCTTTCATCTAAGAGTCAAATGTTGCAGTGTGAAGTTACTTTTACTTTTACTGAGTGAAAGATCTGGAGTGAACGAGTGTGTTCGTCGCTCTTTAACTCTGAAAAGTTGAAATGACTCTTTTGTCTCAAGTCAGAATTTTGATATTTTATTGACAATGTCATACATTTTAAGTCAACATTTTATGTAATAATTCTGACTTTTTAAGGCAGTTTTGACTTTTTATATCACTCATAATTCTGACTTAAATCAGAGTTATAACTTTTTAATATTTTAATTATATACTTTTTTAAATTTAATTATAATTTCAACGGTCAGATTTGAAGTCAATTTCGACTTTTTACGTGTTAAGTCAGTTGAAATTATGACAGTCAAAATTCTGTCATTATGACTTAATTATAAACTTTTTGTCGTAATTTTGACTTTTTTTTACATCTTCAGTAAGAAGAATTTTGACTATATCAAAATTTGACTTTTTTTTACGACTTAAGTCAGTTTTGACTCGTATTTTCAACCATAATGTCATAATTCCAACTTTTTGTCAGTAGTCAGATTTGACTTTACGTCTTATGTCAGAATTTTGACTTATAATTTCAAGCATAACTCAAACGTATTATCGCAATTTTGACTCGTCACTTTCGACTTTTTTACGTCTTAAGTCAGAATTTTAAATCATAATTTCAACGGTCATATTTGACTTATGTCAACTGACTTTTTACGACTTAATTTCAACCATAATGTCATAATTCCAACTTTTTGTCGCTATTTTGACACAAGTCAGATTTTACTTTTTACGTCTCAAGTCAGAATTTTGACTTTATATCAGAATTTTGACTCATAATTTCAACGGCCATATTTGACTTAGGACAGGTCAACTGACTTTTTACGACTTAAGTCAGAGTTTTGACTCGTAATTTCAAGCATAATGTCATAATTCCAGCTTGTGGCCGCAGTTGTGAGTGACTCAAGGCTGTACGGCGGTGCCAGTCGCTCTGGGCTTCCCCGTGAGAAAGCAAAAGACTCTCCTGATTAACATTTGAACTCTGTCTTGCATCTGTAACAGCAACAGCCGAGACGCACACACACCTCACTCTTACGTCTCCTCACATAAAGCTCACTAAAAACCTGTGCAATGTTAAAAGTGTACAATAAGTAATTATACATGTTTGGTATCATTTGAATGTCTCAGTGCGACTGGTACGAAGGTCTCATTCCCACTGAAGTAAAACAGAAGGTAATAAAGTTCTTGAGAGTTTAGAGAGAACTTGCACACGGAGGAGTGTGTGTCCTCCAGGCTAATGGCATTCTGCTCCCAAAAAGGTGTAAACTCTGAATGCAAATCCCCATTGTTAGCAAGGGTTTCCATGTGAAAGGCGTTTCTGTCTTGGTCTGGGTTTGTAATGAATTGCAACAAGAGGCTCGTGGAGTCAGATGCAATAACGAGGTAATACATATGAGAAAATGTATTTTATTTAATCTTCTTGTGTTGCGTAAAAGGAGAGACAGAGACCTTCACCTGTCTTAGCGGAAACCCCCGCCTGGACCGATAAACGGCTTACAAGCAGAAATTTGGACTCATAATTTCAACCATAATTTCAGAAGTCCAACTTTTTGTCGCAATTTTGACTCAAGTCAGTTTCAACTTTTTTACGTCTTGAATTCAGAATTTTTACTTTATATCATAATTTTGACATATGTCTGAATTTTGACGCATAATTTAAAAAATACAAAACCCAAACACCCAGATTGGGCTCGGCTGCAGGACAACTGACTAACATTAACGAAAAAAAGAAGCGTGAAGTCCGTACACTGAAAATAGTCTCAATTTTGACTTAAGTCAGTTTTGACTTTTTTACGTCTTAAGTCAGAATTTCGACAGTCATAATTTCGGCTATAATTGACAGTCAGATGTTTGCGGGCTCCAGTGTAAAGCTGCATGTACTTGTATTGAGTCCGACACCAGTGTGTTCACTGGTCCTTGAACTCTGCGTCAAACATGATCTTCTGGATCTGCATTTTAACCGCGGCTCTTTTCTGCGGCGTCAGTCTTTTGAGGGCCGGGACGAAACTCAAGAGGAACAGCTCGTCCTCATCCAAGGCTTTCTGGACGCTCTTTAGAGGCTCGTTCTCTGAGACCCGTGTGTGTGTCTGATGCTCTGAGACCCGTGTGTGTGTCGGATCCTCTGCGGGCTGCGCTGATGAACTGGACGCCGGCGCCCCCTTCAGGCCCGGAGGAGGACCGGACACCAGCGGCCTCATGTGTTGCAGGGGTTTGAGCTGAGCCACGATAGACAGGGGCATTATGGGAGTCAGCGGGATCGCCGCTTTGATCGGATGCTTGGGC